TATATAAAGAGAAAAATTTATATTTTATTATATTTAATTAATAAATTTTGATATCATTATATTATTTCTAATTGTTATTATATTAAATATATTATATAATTATATAATATAAATAAAATTTTGAAAATTTAAAAAAATAATTTATTATAATATATAATACAAAATACTTAAAAATATTAATTATATAATTTGTTTTATTTTGGATTTCAAAAATTAAACAAAATATAATTTGCTAAATAATTTATTATAATAATTAATAAAATAATAAAATATAACTTATAATTAATTAATTAAATCTAAAAATTATATTATTTATTTTATTAATTATTAATAATATAAAAATAATGAGTTTTTAATCAAAAATAAATAAATAATTTTAAAAAAATTATTATTTTATAACTAAACTTATTTATTACAAAATAACAACTTTCTTTTTTTAAATTTTTGTATAAAAATTCTTTGTTTTTTAAAGATAATTAAATTTATTAATATCTTTAAATATTATTATAATTAAAAATTTTTATAACTTTTATAATTCTTATTATTTATATAATTTTCATAATTCTTTAATTTTATAATTTATATCAAAATATTTATTATATATATTATATTTATTATATTTACTATATTTAATATATTTAATATATCTAATATATTTATTATATTAATATAAATAAATATAAAATAAAATAAAATCTTAAGCATTAGCAATTGATTAATATAAAAATTTACTAGTCAATAAATTGCTACTTGTTTATTATTAAATAATAATATTATGATAATTATATTATATATTATTAAAACTCATAACCAAGTTATTAAAGAATAATAATACTATATAAGGTTATTGACCAGTTTCAAATAATTCTAATAGTTCTATAAAAATTATTAATTTTAAAAATAATTTTACTAATTAAACTTGCTTATAATATAATATAAGTTACTTATTGAAAAATCAGAATTTTTTAAAATATAAAATTTTTAATAAATTTGAGATTATTTCAGAAAAATTATTGTTTTGGAGATAATTTTTATTTTACAAATTATTAATGAAATTTATTTATAATAATATTTTAAAGTTACTTATTATAATTAAGCAATTTGACTTTTCTAGAATTAGTAATTTTAAAATTGTTGGAACTAATTTAGAACTGATTAATAACTTTAATACTATATTATTTTAAAACTGTTTCACGTTAAGTAAATAGAAAATTTAAATTGCATTGCATATAGATTTCAGGATTATTATACTTACTAAAATCATAACAAAATATAATATAAATGTTGATTAAACATCCATGTTACAATAATATCTACCAGAAGCCTGATTGTGATAATATCTTACATTGTATTAAAAACAGGAAATATCTAAGCCAACTTTAGCATCGTTAACAAAAATTCACATTTACGTGAGCGTTATGTGGCGTAATTCAATAAGAACGTTCTTACGAGTGGCGCAAACCAATAAGAATACGCAAATTTTTAATCAACCTGGCAAAACAAAATTTTATATATAAGCTTGTTTTCCACTCTATCCTATATCCTAACACGAATGATAAAATAGCCTTTAACATTAATTTTCCGTGATCACGTGAGTGTGAATTTTTGTTGGTGAGCTGGAAAGTTGTCTAAAGCCTGATCCATCATATGACACATGACTATATAATTATTGATTTTAAGCTTAGAATTAGGATCAGGGCTAGAGTTGTGATCAAGCTTATATATAAAATTGTGTTTCGAACTGATTATCGGATGGACCAGGCTTTAGACATGCCCCAAAAACGTAATCTAAAATAGGGATCTATAGAAATCGATTGCTGATTTTTGGAATCAAAAATGTGACAAGTCACGTGATTGGCGTCTTTAAGTGTTCTGCATACTGAAATTATCATCCTTAAAAAATAGAGAATCCGGGTTGAATTAACTATGGATGGAAATCCAGAGTATTGATTATTTGAACTTTCATTTCATATTACGAAAATACAAGAATACTCATTTAAACTATTATATATTCTTTTATCGCAATGGAAGCATCAAACTCACATAGTTCAGACACACCAGCATTGGACATTCTGCAATTATTGGGAGTCGAAGACCAAGAATCATTTATGAGGATTAATGAAGATTCACCCACCACTTCATCAAATCATCATATTAACAAGAAGAATACCACAACTGGTAATACGGGGAGTAAAGATGGTAATATAACTAACAACAAAACTGATCCAAAAGATTTTCCGAGTTTATCTTTTATTCAACAACAAAAATTGGCATCAATAACAAATTCAACAGCATTAACAAATTCAATAACGACGAATGCATTATCAATAACACCACAAACATCAACATCAACTACTTCTCTTAATCATTCTACTTTACTCGAGAAATCTGTCAATGGCAAAACAAAATTACCTGCTGCATCTGATGTAATTACAATAAACGATGATGATGTCGAAATAATTCCTATGGGTGAAAACGATGATGATGTCGCAATAATTCCTATGTATGAATACATTTATAATGTTTCTACTAAGCGAAATCATCCAGATCCCGAAGAGAAAAAAAGCTGTAAATATTTTCTAATGTTTAACTTTTAGTTAGATGGGATTTTGAGTTATTCATGAACAGAATTGATTTATTTTCTCTAGCTGGTGAGACTAATAAACGTGCAAAACTCGCATCATCTTCCGAAACAAATGGAAATCAGCATCTTGACAGGAAAAAAGAAAAAGGAAAAGCTAGGGCAGAGGCGGTCGAGATTGAGACCGAATCTACTAGTAAACCTGAAAATGAAGTTGAAGCCAATATTTATTACGGTACATTATTTTTTAGAATGCAATTTCCGGAAGCTACACCCGACGAGATGGCTAGGCGTAAATTGAGAGTTCGAAAGCGGTTCCTTGATAATCTACATTTTCGAAAGTTGCCAGTGCGTAAATAATTATTTTCATCAAAATGAGGATGAATTTATTTAATGATCAATTATTTTTATGGTTTCATTAATTTTGTAATATTCTTCTAAGGAGTTTTTCCATTATTGCCATTGACTATCAAAAATTTAAACTATGTTTTGGCCAAGTTAGACGTGTCGAATAGAAAGACTCTAAATGTTGCAAAAATTCTGATAACTCGAAAAGCAAACATTTGTCCACTTTTTAGCATTGTTTTATATGTTGATGGTGATCACTTTCACTAAAGCCAGGTAGTTACACGTGATATATAATCCGATACGGATTGCAATCATGTGACTAATTGAATAACCAATGAAATATTAGTGTTGGCTCACCAGTGACAATGAATGAGCTTAAACACTGAAAGTATTAAGCATAAATAAAGTTGACAAGAAATTTTACAACAATTTTAATTAATAGTGTTGTATAATGACCTTTCATCATAATATTTTATTGGATTATAAATATCTCATATATTATTGGATAAAGATTATATC